TTCTAAATGGGTTTGGGGTTTGGGACATTTTGGGTACGCACTCGGATGTCTGATGTTGGATGTCGGATGGACAGGCTTACGGTCGGCTCCCCCAACGTGCGGAAACTTTTCATTGACGTTGATGAAGTTGGTGCTGCTTTTGTGGCTTTTGCATTTTATAGAAACTGTCAAATAATAAAGCTTATTTGCATATTTTTCGCAGAGCAACCTCGTCTTCTTTTGGCTTAAAACTATGTATGTATGTGTGACTCACATTTAAGTTTTCGTATCTATTATCTGTATCTGTATCTATATGACCATCTTAAAGCTTACGAGCATAAATTTAATTACAACTCAATAAACTCAGAAACTTGAAACTTGATTTTTTTTTATTGAAAATATAATTTAATTTAGTGGCTGTTATTGTTATTACTTTTGTTGCTGCCTATTATTTCATTTTAATGTCGGCATATTTGCATTCTCACAGCAAATAACTTGTGTCAATATTACACTAGCATCAGCAAAAACATAAACACAAGCGAAACACAGAACAGCAGAACTTTGGGGAGCGTATCCCCTCGTATTTGGATTTGTGATCCAAACAACAAAAATCAAAACAGAAACATATCCACTGGCGGAGTAAACAATAAAAAACAAGGAAAGATGACTGTGATAGAATTTCACGACTACATGATACCTGGTACTGATCGTTTTTGGAAGTTTGTTAGATAATTTTGGAGGCTTTGGGTAGAAAAATTTAAAATTCTGTATAACTTTTCCGAAAATAGTCCGATTGGGCTGAATTTTTAGTTCCTAGATAGGCTAGCTTAGATAGTAATAGTAATTTGTATTATGTATTTTAGAATTACTATTATTCTTACTAGAATTCTTACTTCTTACTATTAGTAAACTAGTAATAGTTTGGCATCTAAACTTGAATGGAGTGGGTATTGAAGAAGTCTTTATAGAAAATATTATAGATTTATCTCCAACAGTATCTGATATCCAACGCGTTTATACAGCATTTCCGCGATAGAATCGTACTTTGATTTCTATTGAAATTGATATTTTAATGAAAAATTATCATAAAATATGTGTGCCACAAATCAACCAAATATTCAGCCTTAAAGAGCTATAGCTTTCTATACTGCTCTATTTTTGTAAAGTTCCACTTTTCGACATTTGATACTTTTGTTAAAATGCATCAATATATATCCATATTTCCCCTCCATATTCTCATAAACATAATATACCCTTGTACTCTACCAGTACTTGGTATTAAAGAAATAAAACAAGAAAGGAAAGCTAACTTCGGGCGGAGCCGAAGTTTATATACCCTTGCAGTTAAAACCGGATATATATCGCAAACATCGGATATAGTTGGCCGATCCTTATGGGAATAGGAATATATAATCCAATTTATTACAATACAAAATCTAAAAAAAGTCCCAAACTTCTATCTTCAAAAATACGAAAGTTGATATTTCTACCGAATACCATTTCCGATCGTTCAGTTATATGGCAGCTATGGGATATAGTCGGCCGATCCTAATGAAATTTGGTAGGTTGGATCAACTGACCAAGAATTAAATCTGTACTAAGTTCCAGCTTTCTATCTTCAAAAACACGAAAGTTGGGTCATTTCCGATCGTTCAGTTATATGGCAGCTATAGGATATAGTCGGCCGATCCTTATGAAATTTGGCATGACGTAATGTTTTGCCAAATATAGCTCACATGTCAAATTTGAACTCTCTAACTCTAAAAACACCAAAGTTATACCATTTCCGATCAATCAGTTATATGGCAGCTATAGGATATAGTCGGCCGATCCGGGCCGTTCCGACTTATATACTGCGTGCAAAGGAAAGAAGGGTGTGTGCAAAGTTTCAAGACGATAGCTTTAAAACTGAGAGACTAGTTCGCGTAGAAACAGACAGACGGACAGACAGACGGACAGACGGACAGACGGACATGCTCATATCAACTCAGGAGGTGATCCTGATCAAGAATATATATACTTTATAGGGTCGGAGATGTCTCCTTCACTGCGTTGCACACTTTTGACCAAAATTATAATACCCTCTGCAAGGGTATAAAAACACACTCTAATAATAACAATAACAGACATCATCTGCAAAACAGCTACAACAAACATCATCTCTAAAAGCAAAACAAAACATTTCTAAAATGTTTATCAATTTTTTTTTTGTTATGCATACTTTGTATTATTGTTTGTCCGCAAATTGAGTTATTTTCAATTCAACATTAATTAGGACATAATTAAAAGGAGTTGTTCGGTTGCGCATTTGGATTCTTGTGGCAAATTAATTCGATTTGCAACAGTACTTGCTGTTGGGGCATGGATCTGGGTCTGGACTTGCATTAATATTCAAATAATTCCTTTCCAGATTTGAATCGAGGATTATTTACAATTCATTGTTAATTATGAAATAATGAAGCCAGCTTGTTGATTTAGATTCTCATGATAATTTTTAATTCGATTTCAAATATTGCCACATCTCGCTCTTGCCACCAATTGCCGCGTAATTTTATTATTTATATTCACAGTTTGCTTGTTAAATATTTACTCCATTTTTGGGGTTACATTATTAAAATTTGTATTTTATTTTTAATTTATGGTTGCAGTCAGCGGCATATGGCAGAGAAAAATAAATCAAAGCACCCACAAAATATATATATTATATTTTAAAATAAATATCGAACTGATGGCAAGTGGCAAGTACCACCCACCTGACCTACCTCCTCCCCTTACACTATCTAACCAGAAAGGCATTTCTGTTGCGGCATCAATTTTTGTGGTTTTGCTTGAAAATGCCCCAAACAATCGAAGAGAGGGGGAGAGGGGGAGGGGTGGTTACAGGTGCGGTATTTGGGCGTGGCATGTGTTTAATTGAGGTCACCAGCGTTGTCGGATGGCTGGAAAGTCGCCGCCGATTGCCGGAGGCGACAATAAGAAGCAGAAGTGACCTGTTTACTTGCCAGACTTGTGAGCTGAGCTTCAAGATACAAATAGAGAGAAAGAGAGAGAGCTACACAGAGAAAGGGAAAGAGAGAGAGAGAGAGTGAGAAAGGGGGGCAGAGAGAGTGAGGCAAATTCCAGTGAAATGAAAACCAATAAATAAGCCGAAGCGAAGATGACGACGGCGGCGATGACGCGCGTGGTAAAAGTAACGCGCGGCCTCTGCGGTTACGTCACACCACACATCTAGCAGATACATTAAGATCGACACTCGAAAAAAAAAGAGTATAAAATCGAATAAAAAAATATAAAGCCAAGAGATTTATATATATCAAGCCTTATTTTCCAAACTATTTAAGATTCTTTTTCTTAAAAATGAAAAAATATTTCTCTCAGTGCAAGTATCGCTGAAATATGTGACATTTTTTGGGCTTTTTTTTTGGCTGTCTGCTGCACTTATACTTTAAGATACACGGCCATAGATACGAGGGCCTTTGAGGCACAGACACAGCCGGATATAGGCACAGGTAGAGATATATAGCTCTAGATACAGATACAAGTGCGTGCAGACTGCAGAATGCCTGAAATGCCTTCGCCAGGGGATTACTTTTTCTTCGTTTTCTTGAAGGCTTAGACTTCAATCAATCTGCATCCGTAAAATGTATCTTAGAGAGTGTGTATATGGATGTACATATGTACGTGTGGCTGCCACATCTGCAGCAGGTGATGACACTACTTGTGTAATTTTTTGACTGCTATTTGGACATGACAAGCGGATTTGCATCAGAAACGTGCAACAAATTTACAAGATAATCAACTAGTGCGAGTGTATAACAAGATACACGTACTCTACAGATACAGATACAGATGCAAATGGAAATCAAAGTTAGGGGGGGAGGGGGGTACTGATGAACATTTCATATTTGTTTCGCAAAAGGGCCTTGAGGCCTTGAAGCTTTTTACGCTCGCTTTCATCTGCATTCAAAATGCGCCAGCTCCACTGACCAGGCCAACTCCACTCGACCAGGCCAGAAGCAGCTGTCTGGGCCAGTTAATTAAATGAAATTACATCTGGGAGCCATTTCGGTTTGGTTTTTTTTTGGTTTTTTTTCAACTCGATGGGGAGATGGACTTTCGCCCAGTTACTTATGCATATATACACTGGGCCAAGGAACCAGTCAGTTAGTTGCAATTGCAGAGAAAGCCAACCTAGAATGCCATATCGCCAGCCATATCTCCAGCCACATCGCTTATATGTGGCTTAGATCACCTTGCGCCTCTTATAGCCAATTATGTGCCGCGCCAGAGGGAAAGGGCTTCTCATCAAAATGAAACACTTTTACTTTGCGTTTCGCGTTTCGCTTTAAACGATTAAACGGACAGAGTTAAAGGGGTTTTTAGGGGGGGATTACAAACTGATGTTTGTTTTATGCGCATAATTCGAAATTTATTTCATGTCTTATTAATTTTACATAAGACGGAGATGAGGTTGCTTCCGCAAGTCTGGGAAAAATACAAAATGAAGCGATGAAGACCTAAAAGCAATTAACAGCCAAAGAGATGAAGTGGAAAAAGTAAAAGTTGAAAAGGTTGCACCAGCAGCAGCAGCAGCAGCACTAGCACTAGCTGCAGGTGTCAAGGTGCCATCTCTATATAAATCTACTACTTTTTGGATTGAAATGTGTCAGAGACATAAAATCAAATTTCGGTTGCAAGATGCGTGGGAGTTTTCGGCCAAGAGTTTTGCCAATCAACGTGTCAATCGGAACCGAATCCGAATCCGAATCTAAATCCCATCAAATTGCCTTCCAAACAATGGTCTTTAGCTCGACTTGAGCACCCATAACTTTCGAACCAAGTTTTTTTTTTTAGTTTTTTTTTTTTTTTTTTGGTGGAAAGCTGAAATCCGAGATTCGAGACTCGAGACTCCAAGAGCATCAACTGCTTGTCAGTTGCTTTGTTGTCGAGCCACCTCAAGAGTCATCAAATCAAATTATTTATGAATTTGTCACTGGCCGAAAGCGAAAGCCGCCCAGACAGAGCCGCAGAGTCAGAGTCAGAGCCGGAGTCAGAGCCATCCGCCCATTCAATCGATCAGTCAGTCGTAGTGTCCCAGTAGTGCCATCTACTCCGACGATCGTCGACGACATATAAAAGTTTCCTTGACTGCAGTCGAAGGCCGGCAGCCCCAGCATAAACATCGTTATTCCGCCAAAGAATGTTGCGCATACGCAGTGTGGTTCTTTCCATAATAGTTATGGCCCTAACGCTAGTAGCTGCCAAACAGGATACCACAGGTGAGTTCTTATTACAAATATATCCTCCTCAAAACTCAACTAAGAGTATAAATCCTTTCCAGCTCGTCAGTTTGGTGGCCAGGGCTTTGGTAATGGCCTAGGATCTGGTGTGGGAACTGGAGCGGGCTTCGGTCCCGGTGCCCTCTATCCTGGTGGCCAGGGTGGCTATGGCCCCTCGCCCCAGCAGCCGGGCTGTCCTCTGTGCGACTCCTCCGTCTACAGCTACTGCTCTCATAAAATGGTCCACGATGCCTGTTGCTGCGACTTTCCAGGTATAGCTACTATAGTCGTCTAGTAGTATATGATTTTTTTATTAAAAATTCTTTTAAATTCCAGCCTCTGCCCCTCAGTTGCGACCACCCCAGTGCTCGTTCTACGACTGCTCCCTGCTCTATGCCAAGTCCTGCTACGAGCACCTCCTCATCAGGAACTGTTGCTGCAATAATCCCTACTAAAGCTTACACTACTCTTACCCATGATTTTATTTATTTAATAACTTTCTTGTAATTTAAGCCGACACTAAATACAATTAAGTAAATTATTTAATTCCTGTTTTGTTTAATGTTCAGTCGTATTATGGGAGATGAGGATTATTTCCCCAATAAAGTAATACCCCGATGGTATTTTCCTTCAAATGTCACACAAAGTTTGTGTTTTAAATTGATTTTCCAACATTTTGTGATTCTAACTATTTACATGGCCAACATTATTTAATTATAGCCTAAGCTGTGACTTAAACACATTCCCTGTTTTGGGGGGTTCTGGGATTCTGGGCCATGGATTACCGGGCATTAAAAATGTGTCCAATTAATTCATGGCTTTTGTTTTCATTTCACCTGGCCGATGGTGGCTCATTTATCAATTGATTATTGTTGTACTATATATATGTACAGTATATCCTACATACATAGTACATGCTATTAGCATAATGAATGTTTTCTCTCCAGATTAATTGATTTTTAATACGCAGCTATGATCAGCATACACACCTTGATGCTTATGCAGATACAATTTTGTTGTTGTTATTGGTTTTTTCGATAGTTTTTTTTTATGTTATCCCATTATCTAATCCCAAATTATGTGGCTTAATAAATTATTTACGAAAAAATATAAACATCGTATATTTATAAATGAGAGATAATAGCGACGAATTCCAAATGCTTGCCCAAGCAATAAAATATAAAAACTTTCCATTTACACGCACATTTAAATATTAATTAATGAATTTAAGCATAAACACAACCAATTGTCTATAAATAGGTTGGGCCCTAAAAAAAATATAAATACGAGCAATGAAAAATCATAAAAATAAACAAAAGAAATACAAGCGCGAATCCAGAAATCCAGAAGCGTTTGTTGTTTTTGTTTTTTTGGCGATTATTATTGGAATGATGATAATAACAACCAGACCCAGTCCCGGCTGCGAATCCAAAACTTTGTCGCTTTCTTCAGCCCCTTTCCATAAATCTTAAATTATAAAAAATAAAAACAAAAAAAATACTCGTAATCCACAGACAGCCACAACGGGAGGAGAGGCAGGGAGCTCCAAAAAAATTCAAAATCCCTGGCAGAGCAAGAAATATTAGCATATTACATAAGAATTTTCACTTTCATTTAGTATGAAGAGGCTCTTCTCCCCAGTGCCCTCCACTCCACTCTGGCATAGTCGATGATTCCATTCCGAACCATTCCATTCCATTTCGCGATGACGATGACGAAGGCCAAGACTTTGGCTCTCGCAAATACTTTTTTTTTTTTTTTTTTTTTTGCTTGATTAGCATAAATCTCTATATTAAGTGGCACCATTTGCCCCGCCACGCCACGCCTCGCCGATAAGAAGAGCGGCAGTGGACAGGCGGCAAGGCCACGGCTGAGGCTGCGACTACGGCTGAGACTGAAAGCCGCTTTCTCCACAGCCTTGCCACAGGGTATTACGAAATCCGAAATGCTCTCACGTCCATGCCGGGTCTACTAAATACTCGTAAATTAGATTTATGCTAATCTTTGAGGTTCGACTTGGTTCGATTTTGTTTCCATTTTTTCATTAACTATCGCCCTTATTAATTAAGTCGAAAGGCTGTGACTTTAACTCTTGTTTGTGTTTTAGATTTTCTGACAGAAAGCCACACGTAACTTGTTTGTTTTTATTTTGAAGATTGAAACTATCCATCCATCTACCATCTTGGGTGTGTCCATCTGTGGGAATCTCTTTAGGGGCTATAAGGACTATAAACTAAGCCTCTGAAAGAGAAAAACCTCTGGTATATGGTGGTACTACTATAATATACTATGAATCTTTTTAAGAAGAGAGCGAAGGTTTCAACCTCTAGAATAGTTTCTAGAAGAATAATACATATAGTACCTGGGGAACCTGGGTATCTGGTATCTTACATAATTTTTCAGATATTGTACACCTCTTGTAGATATAATGTACCACTTTTAAACATCAAATACAATGTCATTCTAACTTCAATTCTAATCCCTGTCTATTCTAATGTTTCAAGCCTTAGAAAGTACAATATACTGTCAAGTACCGGGTATCATAGACGATATGTCGAATACAATGTGCTCTTTAAAGAACAGTGTATTGTTCTGAACCTTAAAAAGCTCAATAAGCTTCCTCAATAAGTACTGGGTATTATTTACCATATACTAAGATATCAGATTCAGAACACGCTCTAAATAAAGCCCCATAAACTAATAAGTATTGGGTATTATATATCACATTCCAGATTACATTCCTTGTATAAGAATAGTGTTGTCTTCCGAACCTCAGCAAGCAGAAAAACTACCAAGTACCGGGTATTATATACCATATACTGGGTATAATTATTCCTTGAAGCTGAAAGTGATATTCTATACTATAGATATCGGATTCAGAATATAACACTCTTGGGATGTAAAATAAACTACCGAGTACCAGGTATCTTATCCACACAATTTTTATCTTTTTTTAAGAAGAGTACTTATGAGTGCGTATGATATTCTGATATTTATATTAAGCAGAGTTTTTTATTTATGATATTCCAAACCTCAAAAATCATAAGATTCTGCTGAGTACCGGGTATCATATATCATATACCACAATAACTCAATGTCTTCTCTCTAGAAGTTGTGTTATAAACCTCAAAAATCACAAAAGAAACTACCAAGTACCGGGTATCACTCACCACATACCAAATTCCAGAATCTAAATCGAACATGAAAACCAGCATAACCCAAAGATGAGGCAAACACAAAAAAAATTAGTCCTGTCAAGCCGCATATCATGTTCTTGTTGTTGGCGCAACAATTGTCCAAGCAATCGAGCGGAGGACTACGAGGAGGACCACGCCCAAACGCTTTCCCTCATTGACAGCTATTGGGCGAAACAAATTTAACTTTTTTTCGCCAGGACCCCACAAACGAACCAAAAAAAAAAACAGAGCAGACCAGACCAGAACAGACCAAACAGTCCTTCAGTTTTCGCGGAGAATTGCCGACTAGGCAGCTTCGTCTGATTGGCAGGATAGGGGATGGATATGGCCATGGCCCATAGCCAAGAGCAGAAGCTGGAAGCTGGAAGCTGGAAGCTGGAGCTGGAGCAAGAGCCACCGAGATAATCACAAAAGTTTTGTAATAATTTCAATTTTTTTCCGGCCACTTCTTAGCCTTCGACGACTGTGTTGTGTGTGTGAGAAGAGTGTGTTTTTTTTTTGCTTGCCGTTTGCACTTTTCTAACAATTTCGCTTCAAATGAAACCTTTAATGGATTTCAAAAGAAAAATTTATTTTGACAATGACAATGAATTTTTCCTGCTTTTCGCTTCTCTTATACATTTCATTTTATTTATTCATTCTCAGTCGGAGGCGGGCGGGCACCCATATATCCCAACCCATACCCATACCCATACCATAGCATAGCATACCATCCTATCCCAGCACATCCTTGAAAATCCCTATTGTTGCTGTGTGGGTGTGTGTGAGTGTGTTTTCGTTGTATTTTTTATTGCCATTCCAAAAGTTTTTAATGAGCGCGCGTTGAAATTTTATCTGCCGGCTTCAACCCTCTGGAGCAGGTCCTTTTTTTTTTTTTTTGGCCCCAACAACACTTTAGTTTCAACTTCAGTTTCGTTGGCAGTTTCAGTTACAGGATGATTCTGTTGCCTTCTTTATGAAGTAAAAACTCGGGACACGTTTACTTCATCAAATGCGCTTAATTAGAATTAGCATTGGAATTTGGCTCTGTTCGAGAATGTCGGCCAAGGACAATGGGGCCAAGAAGGAGTCTAAGACCATTCGTTCTCTCCACATTTCTAGATTTTATAGCAAAAAAAAGGAAAACACATTCTTGTTTTCGATTTTTTTTTTTTTAAAGAAAATCCTACTTATATTTGAATCCTTTGTGGAGTAGTATCCCATTGTACCATTGGACAGGACAGGAAAGAATATAAGCAGCTCGACGAAAGGTAATATGGCCAAAAGGATTCGGGTAGAGAGAACTATGTGCAGTGTGGGGGGGGGGTCTGGGTGGTAAGCTCTGTTTTGTGCCAGGACCTCCTCCACACAACCAGTGGGGGGCAAATGGAAAACGGAAAAATGCCAGAAATTTGTTGTTTTGTTGAAAATGTCAAACGGATTTAGTGGAGCAAAGGACCTGGAGCACACTACCAACTATCGTTCAATTCCATCGACTAATACAGCAACTAATACAAACTAACTAGCGATGGGAGACTACTAATTAGTCTTACAAGACATGACCATTCGGTATGCTTTCTTCCTCAATTACCGACACATCTCTCATCACAATGGCATTACATAACGCACCCAAGACCCTCGTCACTTCCCCACTAAACCCACCAGCGTAAATAAATATTTGAAAACAAATTATGCTCCGGGCGTGTGGACTCTGGCCAATTGTCGCCGAAATGTGCAAAAATAATTTTCCATTAACCGAAAGTTTATATAGAGAGGCGTAAAGCAACATAATTAACGTCCATTTGGCGGAGACGACGACGGCTTATTATGGCGATCGCGTGAAGGATGCCATGGTAGATGGTAAATGGTGGATGGTATCTTCCCCTCCAATAATACTACCAGTCATTTCTCACTTTCAGTAAATTAAATTCGCATAACTGAAACTGAAACCGAAACACCAAAAAGCTTCATAACAAAACGCTGCCAATAGACCATGACAATAGTGCCATTCTGGGAAGATCTTTAATATCAAACATTATAGTCCACCAACTTATTCTTATTCTTTTATTAATTTTCTATAAGAATCTATAACCTCTTATAGTACACATATATCTCCATGTATTGGCAAGCTCTACTGTACTGTGTAAGAGGTGTCGAGTCATCCAAATTGCCGGCAATGATGACTTTGTTGCCGTGGAGCACTGCTTTCCACGCCAGAGACCAGACCAGACCAGACCACTAAACTCGGGTCTTTAATGAATCATAAAACCAACAATCGGATACAAATCAAAGCAAAAGTAATCAAAAGAAAGGCCCAGACCCGGTAAAAAGATGCAAAAATAACAAAAAAACAAAAAAATACCAACTCATTTTTTTACGCAATCCCCAATCATAACAAACACTTTGGCTTTTGTGGCAAAAAATTGACAAAG